CCCCGTGCGCCCGCCCCGCGCTCACCTCCTGGCACATGTAGCCGATGCCGCGGATCTTGAAGGAGCCCGTGGGCTGCACGTTCTCCAGCTTCATGTAGACCTTGGTGCCCGCCGCCTTGGACAAGGCCACGCTCTCCAGCATGGGCGAGACGATGTGGAAGCGGCCACCGTCTCCGCTGGGCTGGGCTGCCATGGTCTGGAGCACTTGGGAAGCCTTCCCGGGACCGAGGGCTTTCCTAGGGCTGCTGGCTCCAGGAGCGAAGTCACCCTACAGGCGAGAATTGCCTCAGATTGAACAACAGTTCTGGGGATCCAGGGCCAGTCTGCAGGCGGATGGGGAGCCTGAGCACGTGCTCCTTGCTCATCTGCCCTTTGACAGAGCAAAGTCTCCCAAAGGGAGTGTTTTTATTCTTTTTGGTTGTTTTCCCAGCAGTGAAAAACAAGGAGGTTGTTTGGCAGGGAGAGAGCAGCAGGAGGAAATGGAGCAGGGACTGGCCAGGGTCCCCAGACAGGGCGTTCTACCCCATCCAAGCACTCCCCAGTGCGCCCCAACTTCCCTAAATCCCTGCCCGGGACACCCAACAGAACAACCCCCGGGCACCTCAGGAGTGAGAAAAGGAGCAGAACCCCCACGGCACCTACCCGACCTCCTCACGGGCGCTCAGGCCCTCGTGCGGAGCCGGCAGGGAGGGGGGAACCCGGGGCCAGTCCCCGGCCGCTCGCTCAGCACTTTGCACCCAGGCCCCAGTGCTCCTTTCCTGGGCCGGTTGTTTTTCCGGACGCTTCTTTTCTGCGTCACCACCGAGTTGGCTGCAAATCAAAAGTGCCCAGCAGCAGCCTGGGCCAAGACGGACGGGTGCAGCTGGGGGCAACGCGCTCGCCGTGCCCTCCAAAGGGAGTCAGCATCCCCAGCTCCTTGTCCCACTGTGGGGGACGGTCGGGTCTAACCCCTTCCCCAGCAGCCGTCATTCCTGGCACACAGGGGAGTTTGGATATCGCCCCCCGGCACCGCAGCCCAGCACGGGGACCCCCGTGGGAACGGCCTGGCCTGGGGGAGAGGACAGAGCCGGGGACGGAGCCAGCCTTGGTGGGAACTTGGCACCTTCAAAGCACTTGCTGAGCTCCCCAGTTCATAATCCTCCCCTCTTCTTCCCCCGCTAATGACCTCGTTATTGCTAACGAGCTGCTTGGTGGCAAAGATCAAGGGAGCTGCTGTAAGAGGATTTTGCCACAAGTGGCTCAGGGCTGAGGGGGGGACACGGGTGCCAGGGAAGGAGAACAAAAGGCAGCGGGAGAGTCACCCTCTGCGGCGCTCGGAGCCAGGGGGGTCTCTCTGCCCTGGGTCAGGTCTCCCCCTGAGCACCCACCCTCTTGGGAATGGGGGAGAAATAACTTACAGCTGCCCAAAAAGGCACCCAAGGGGATCTACCAGCTGAAGGAACAGTTTGGTGCAAAGAAACCTGCTCCTCAGGTAGCCGGGATCCATGTGGGATGCCAGGCGGGCGGTTGTGCCAAGGGAAAAAGCCCTGCTTCCCCATCCTGCACAGGACCCAAGTCCCTTGCACCCTGAAGGCAGCAGTTGCAAATGCTCCTGCCTCCTCCCCAGGCCGGGGGAGAGGCTCCCCCAAAAGCACCAGGCACTTCCCCAGGGAGGGGACACGCCTGAGCTCAACCCTTTTGCAATCCGCCACAGAATCCAGCACAGTACCAAAGCACATTTAATTCAACAAAACCGAGTTCCTTCCCCTCCTCTCCGGCACACGGGACGTCACTGTCCCAGGACACTATAGAGCGGACCCCACCATGGGGAGCCCAGCTTGGGGGGCAGGTGACCAGCACTGAGAGGCCAAGGACAAGGCCCGGGGCAGCGACAGCACCAGCCCTCAGGCTAGGGTTGAAGCCCCCACGCCGTGGGGTGACACAAGGCAGCAGCAGACCCACGGGCTCCGTCCTGGCTCCGTTGTGGATGTGGCCCCGGGTCCTCCAACGGCAAGGGGGAACCCAGCCGC